GCTGCCCAATGCTTATCCTACAGTGCCATACCAAGACTACAGGACCCTACTGGATGGGTTCAAACTATCAACTTTAAGGTTGTGGTGGTGGTGGTTATGTGCTGTGGAGTTGGTTCCGACTCATAGTGACCCTGTACAGGGTTTCTGAGGCTGTAAATCTACGGGAGCAGAAAGCCTCATCTTTCTCCCATGAAACTGCTGGTAGTTTCGAACTGCTGTCCCTGAGGCTAGCAGCCCAATTCGTAACCACTATGCTACCACAGCTCTTTGAGCACAAACCATTTACAGTACTCTGGGACCTGGGACCTCCTAGTGGTTAAGTGCTGTCGAGTGTGTTCCAACATAAGTAAGTGCTTATACGAATATTTTCAAAATAGCTCCGCAAGTATGCTGAGAAATAGTTGTAATTTGCTTTGAAAACCTTTGAGATAAATGGGAAGGCATTGCTTATGAAAACTTTCAATTCAGTATCTGTAGACCCCTATTTGTTGTTGCTGTTGATAGGCATAAAGTCCACCATTAAGAAAGCATAAAGTAGAAAAGAAGTGCTAAAAGCAAGTATTAAAATAATTCATAATAAAACTACACTGGAAAATATTCTGCAAACTTTTCATTTCCATTTCAGAGTTTGCATTGCAGTCTTACCTGTACTGAGAGGCAACATGAGAAAATTGGTTTAGGGAGAGAGGGAGGAAATTAGCCTCTCTCTTATCAAGCTAACTGTATTTTCTATGACTGCACAAGGTGTTGTAGAGAAATTATTTGGAACTGATTAAACCTCAGGAGAGAGGGGGAAGGGAAAGACGCATTCGGGACTCATTCTTCTAGAGAACGCGAGCGCCCCCTAGGATGCATTTACCTGCAGTTTGGTGACGCAACTCGGGCCACGCTGCCACAAGGGAGTAAGGGGGAAGGGGCCGGATTCCTCCCTGTAGGAGGACTATCTGGACCAAAGAAAGAGGCTGGCGACGGGAAGGAAGCACGGTTCAAGCGTTTGAATAGCGGACACAGTGCAACTAAAGTCTGTACAGTGTTAGAGGCGCGCGTCGCTCACCGTTTCCCCCGTCCTCCTCCCCCAAATACACCCCGCCGCCGTGTGTCACCTTCCTGTTCGGAAGTCTTAATAGGTTGCTGGGACAGAACTGGGGGCGCCTGCTCCACCCAGCAGGTATCCGGTTGGATGAAAAGCCAGTCTCAACAACTTGATTCCCTCTGTTAAATGATAAGTTTAGTAGACCATCCGTCTCCAAGTGCTGAGCATTTGGGTAGGGGGAGGAAGAGCACATCTGACGTTCCTTTTCGGTTCCGACCACAAATCATATGGTTGTGCCTCATCTCTACTCCACTTACAGCCCTCGAACTGAAATTTCCCATTCCTCCCCAAATGCATGCCCCCCGAGCTTCTTTGAGAAAATGAAGCCTATGCATGTGTTTTGAATTTTTTCTGGACTGATTTGTGATGATAATCAGTCAAGTTACATTTTTTGCATGTCTTTCTGGGGGTGTAATAAACCGAGGACACTGATGACTGTAATTTTCTGGGTGGTGTTGCAATGGGGGGAGGGGGTAAGTGGCCCAGTATTGAACTTTGCAGCTTGATCCTTTCCTGTCTGCGATTGCATTTCTATAAAGTTGGGTTAGTAGCAACAGGGACGGCCACAGGCAGCTCTGACACAGAGCAGGGAGGCTACCAGCGCCTTAACTCTGCCTCAAACCTCCTGAAAGGTAATCCTTAACTCATATCCTGGGTGACCTGAAGAATGAAAGAAGAGGCTATAAAATCTCCTTTAAGAGGTTTGTCTGCTTTTATTACTATAATTTGGATGGGGTGGTAAACAAAGATGCCCCCAGAGGAGCTGGGTAGGCCTGACTCCGGAAAGCAAGAGCTGGGGTGCAGATAGGGTCTTTGATGGAAGGTTCCTTAGTCAAACATTTAAAAACAAAACTTAGTGCACCCGTTGGTGTTTTGGGACAATCTAAGCAACATTTGCTCTAAAAAGGAAAGGAGCCAAGTGAGGGAGCAGGGCTGAGCTAGCTGAATGGTAGAACATGGGATATGGGGGCATTGGAGATAATGCAGGTTAATGCACTGCACTGCAAAGTCGGTATGAACCACAACATCAGCGGTTCAAGCTCACCAGCCACTCCTTGGAAACTCTATACAGGGTTGCTATGGGTTGGAACCCACTTGACAGCACTTAACAACACTATGTGAAATGGGGGAGAAAGATGACTTTGTGCTCCTGCAAAGATCTAAGCCTTGGAAACCCTGTACAAGGTGACTATGAGTCTGAACCAACTAGATGGTACCTAAAAACAATTATATGAAAAATCCATGTGAGAGGAAGTAGAAATGGGCTGGTGACAGTAAATTGGAGTTTCCTAACCTTGCTTTGGGTTGACACATTGGTTTCAGGCTAAGTGTTGTTTTAAGCGTGGGTGCTGAACAAAATTTCCCAGCCAGTCTCTAGGAGAAAGGACCTGTGTTCCCTTTCCCAGTTGGGGACTGTTTTAATAACTGAGCAAACCAAGAAACAGTTGAGGTTGGAGATCGTATTAGGGCAAATGAGATGGTAGTTCTCTGCCCAGGACCAAGGAAAAGGCGCTTCACATGCTATTTCTGGTTGGACTGTTAGCATTTTGGAGTGTGTCAGACCCAGACGGCAACCCTAAGATGGCAGGTCCTTGGCAGCTAGGGGTCACGGCAGGGCAGCCACCGCAGACAGCATCAGGGAGCGCCAGGTGCCAGGACCCAGAGAATATTAGTAACTTGTAGCTGGCCCGGGATCGTGGCTTGCAGTCTCCCTGCCCAGGCTAGGCTGGCTTAGGTTCCTGGGCCAGTGGTCAGAGAGCAGCTCTTAGCAACGGGGTTACTGGAAGGCACTGCCTTTACTGCTCTGCAGAACCTGGCCGCAGCCTGCTGCCCTCCTTCCTTTGTTTACAGGACCGGAGCCATTCATCTAATCGTTTATGAGTCAACTTGTTGTTAAATGCCTTGGACTCGTAAAGAGTCTATGTAGGGATTCCAAGGAGGGGCTAGTGAGTTTGAACCGCCGCCCTTGCGGTTCAGTGTTTATCCTACAGGGCTACACGAGGACTTCATGAGTCCACTAGTCTCGGTTGCTATCGGATTTGAGAGAATGCTGGGTCTGCCCTGAAATAAACTGAAGGAGGGGCAGGGGAGATAAGGGCCGAGTAAGGAATTCCGGGACAATGTAATGTGACCTTGCAGAGTTTTCGGGAGAGGAGGAGGGGTCCGGGAGAGGAGGAGGGGAATCTAGCCGGGCTACCAAGATAGCTCCGGGGGGGCCCGAGCCCTGAAAGGCCCGCATCTCCTTGAGGTCACTCGAGGTCCCCTGAGCCAAGCCACCGCTCCTTAACTTGCCACTTCCTCACGTCTTCTTGGCATGGCGGGGATTAAAAATGCAAGGGAAAAAATTACATGCGGAACGGACAAAATGTTCTCAGAGATTACTTGAGGAAAAAAGTGAAATGAAGATTGGATTTTTTCTTTTTATCCCTTTAGTGCAGACGCGAATTTTCTTTCCGCCCCCTTCCCTCCACATTCCTGACCTCTCCCTCCCCCTTCCCTCTTTTTTTCCTTCCTTCCTCTTCTTCCAAGTTCTGGGATTTTTCAGCCTTGGCTTTGGCCAAAAGCACAAAAAGGCGTTTTCGGAAGCGACTCGGCCGTGCACAAGGGTCATTTGTTTGTTTTGGGACTTTGGGCAGGAAATCTCGCTTTGCCTGAGTCACTGCGGCTCCTTCAAGGAAACGTCAGTGTTCGCTGCGCTCCTTGTAGCCCACCGCACGGCCAGGCGACCGTGTCCATGGGGGAGATGCAGGGCGCGCTGACCCGGGCCCGGCTCGAGTCGCTACTCCGACCCCGCCACAAAAAGAGGGCCGAGGCACAGAAAAGGAGCGAGTCCTTCTTGCTGAGCGGACTGGGTAAGCGCCGAGACCCGCTCGCCGGGGATGTTCGCGAGCCCTCCGCGAGGGGTTCCGCTCAGCTGGGGTGCACGGATCGGGCGAGAGGGGCTGACTTTTATCTCTGCTGCTGCTGTTTGAGAGTGAGGAGGGGCGAGGTCAGGAGGAGGGCGGCGTGCGCGGGGAGGACTGCCAGGCACCCTGGCCCCTTCTTGACCCCGGAGATAAGGCGCGCCGGCCGCCCTCCCTTGCTGCCGCCTGCGCCCGTGCGATAACCCCGCTGGAGGCGCGCGGCTCAGGGAGATTCCTCCGTGGGCGAGCCGGCCCGGGGGGCTCCCGCTGCAGGAGCAGCCCGAGAGTGAACGTAAGCTGCGGGCGGGAGGAACCGACCGGGGACAAAGCCACCCCGGCTCTGTACACCGGGCGGAAAGCGCCTGGGCGCCGCGACTCATTTCCTTGCACAGCGGGCTGCAAGAGAAGGGTGGAAAATTACCCTCTACTTACTATCCCTCCTCGCCCCTCTGCGGGCGGTTTCCCTCGCTCCCACCCGAAGCTGAGGGAGACCGACAGCGGCCCAGTGTCGGACCCTCCAGAGCGGTCAGGATGCCCCCACGTCCCCACTAGGGGTCCTCCCCACCCCCTTCAACCCCAGGCGCCGAGTTGCACCGCCCACTAGGCAGAGTAGCTGGAGCTTCGCTTCGCGGGGGGGCGGGGGCGGGGGCGGGGCCAGTCGGCGCCGCAGCTTCCTAGTCCCGCGGGCTCCGCCTCCTGGGCTCAGCCTTTATAAGCCGGCGGCGCAGCCCGGGCCCAGTCGTGAATGAGTTCGTCTCCTGTCCTCAGCGACTCCTTCTACTCTCTCTGCGATATGACTGTGAAAACCGAGGCTGCTAGAGGCACCCTCACCTACTCCAAAATGAGGGGAATGGTAGCAATTCTCATCGGTGAGTGTAGGACTTCGAAGACATCTAGGTTCTACGAAATGGAATTTTTTTTAAGGTCCGGAATCAGATTACTGTGTGTGGCGTCGTATATCATGAAGTCGTCTTAAACGTTTATTTCTTCTCTTTAATTCACAGCATTCATGAAACAGAGAAGAATGGGTCTGAACGACTTTATTCAGAAGATTGCCAACAACTCCTATGCTTGCAAACAGTAAGTTGGAGGGGTTTGAGGAAACAAAACATTTGCTAACAGTAAAGACTCAATCTCATTAGTATGTTGATAAGCAAGTCAACGTAGGGAGAATCTTTTTTCTCTTTTATTTTAAATTTGCTTTAAATAAACATAATGGAAGGAAATTAATTTACTGATTTGGCTTGTTTTGGACATGAAAGATACATTTTTCATGTTTACCTAATTTACGCCCTTCTTCCAGAAAAGCATCCTTAATTTCTGTATTTTACAGGGCTTATTATTTTATTTAGCTTTTTATTTTTTTAAACTGAGTTACTGAGTTTTTTAGAGCACTTTGAATTCTGGGGAAATTTGAGTCTGACTGTTGATATTAACGCGCCCCCTGGTGGCGAGTCACTTGAACCTAACCTGTTTATTCTCTGCAGCCCTGAAGTCCAGTCGATTTTGAAAATCTCTCAGCCTCAAGAGCCTGAGCTTATGAATGCCAACCCTTCTCCGCCGGTAAGTATTTTCTATTTGTGATGCATCTTGGAGTAAAATTGTGAATGAGTAACAAGTATTCCTACATCATGAATTAAAATAGCATTTCTAGAAATTAGTACCTAGGTTGGAATGCCTTAAGTCTTGGGATAGCAAGTGACCTAAGTAAGCATTGAGTCTGGGAAATATTTTAAGAGGCATATGTCATAAATTTTTCTAAATTTCAGAAATTTTTAAATTTAAAAAATTGAGTCTGGGGAACATTTTAAGAGGCATATTTCATAATTTTTTCCAAATTTCATAAAAATTTTCTTTGCTTATGATGAATTCCCATACACCCATATGAAATACTGATTTGTATGGATGAAAAGTTAGCTTTGAATATATTGTGTTGTTAAGTGCCGTCCACACATTTACCATTCATAGGGTTTCCGAGGCTGAAAATCTTAGTGGGAACACAAAGCTTCATCTTTCTCCCGTGGAGAGTCTGGTGGACTCAAACCATGGATCTTGTAGTTTGCAGTCCAGTGCTTATCATATAGAGCCATCACACTTCTTAAATATATTATAGATGATATACAAATGCATAGATAGATACATGGTTACTTGCCTCAGTCACTGGTAGATGGGAGTCAACGTTTGCACTGCATGTAGTTTTATCATCTCTACAGCTTTATTGAAACTAGAATATTAAAAGAAGTTTTTCCTCCTCCCCAGCCAAGTCCTTCTCAGCAGATCAACCTTGGCCCATCGTCTAATCCTCATGCAAAGCCATCGGACTTTCACTTCTTGAAAGTAATTGGGAAAGGCAGTTTTGGAAAGGTAATTGCAAACACGAAAACCTCCTTCGTATTGAAGCCTTTCGTGCATTTTCCAATCTACTTTCTTCCTGAATATGGACAGCTAAATGATGTTTTGATGTTGAAATTTCAGGTTCTTCTAGCAAGACACAAGGCAGAAGAAGCATTCTATGCAGTCAAAGTTTTACAGAAGAAAGCGATCCTGAAAAAGAAGGAGGTATGAGATGTGCTCAGTGGGTTGGGTTGGAGGTGGAGACTCATAAAATGGTTTTCCCCTTGGATTTTTGGTGCCCACTTGAGATTTGCCACTGAAATGGTCTTTTTTTTTTTTTCTAGGAGAAGCATATTATGTCTGAGCGGAATGTTCTACTGAAGAATGTGAAGCACCCTTTCTTGGTGGGCCTCCACTTCTCTTTCCAGACTGCTGACAAGCTGTACTTTGTCCTAGACTACATTAATGGTGGCGAGGTGAGCAGTGGAAAGAGGAAGTAACCCTGGGCTGACTGTATAAAGCACATGTTTAAATTGAGAAGAAGGTTTTCCAAAGACATCTAAGGGGAAAAGTTACCAGAATTAGCGTTAGCATTTCCTCTAACCTGCCAGGCATCCAATAGTTAACACTATTGAGGGGCACTAGAGCAACTGTTGTCTTTAGTTGTATAGGGCAGGACTAATGAAAGGCATTGTTAACAGGCTTTAGCAACCCGGCTTAGCATTGTTTTGTCTCCTTGCAGTTGTTCTACCATCTCCAGAGGGAGCGCTGCTTCCTGGAACCTCGGGCTCGTTTCTATGCTGCTGAAATAGCCAGTGCCTTGGGTTACCTGCACTCTCTGAACATTGTTTATAGGTGAGCAGACCGCTCTAAGTGTACCTTCCTGAGTGGAAGGGAGACAAGGCCCTTGCCTTTGATGAAGCTGTAAAATAACCTGTTTCTATGCAGTTTGGTCCCTAGCATGTGAACTGCTTTGACTGGCCACTAGGAATTGGGCCACCTCACTCAGATTGTACCTAATCAGAGTTGATTTCCTCAACAAGGACTCCCATTTATATTCAGTGTACAGCTGTAATGAATGTAAAATGCTTCCAATACCCTAACAGTTATGCTTGCAAAGGATTTTTAATGATGTGAAATGAAAACTTAATCCATTTTTTGTTTTTGGTTCTTTTTTTACAGAGACTTAAAACCAGAGAATATTTTGCTAGATTCCCAGGGACACATTGTCCTAACTGACTTTGGGCTTTGCAAGGAGAACATTGAACACAACGGCACGACATCTACCTTCTGTGGCACACCTGAGGTAAGAGCCCTCTTCTTTGGTCCAGGTGTACCCCCTACCATAGTATAAACTGGCTTTATACCCTCCCAAGTTGACCCTCACCAAGATTCTCTCAGCCCCATCAAAGTCCAGGCCTGGCTTGGCATTTCTTGAACTCGTGGTCTGAGCTCCATTTTTCTCATCTTTTTCAGTATCTGGCACCGGAAGTGCTACATAAGCAGCCTTACGACAGGACGGTGGACTGGTGGTGCCTGGGGGCCGTTTTATATGAGATGCTGTATGGTTTGGTGAGTAGTCCGTCGGGAATCTGGACCCTGCCCCTGATTTGTTGATCCTCCCTAGAGCATTGTCTGCCTGCATTCCAGAGTGATCAGGCATGTAGAATGCACTGTAGCCTTGCCCTGTCAGTAAGCGCAAGCGTACTGAGCACTGAGGAGAGAAACATGTTGGTCATTTTTTAAGTGTTTCAAAGTAAAATCTTAACTAGTGGACTTGTCTTTTATCAATTCACATTTTATTCAGATGAGAGGGTGTTAGGAAAAAATGTGTTTTATTCACTTACACCTCCTTATAGAGGTTGCAAGTAGAATAGTGGGTTATGAGTTGAGCTACTAATTACAAGGTCAGCAGTTCAAATCTACCAGCTGCTCCATGGGGAGAGTGATGAGACTTTCTGCTCTGGGAAAGATCTACAATCTCAGAAACCCTGTACAGGGTCACTGTGAGTCAGAACCGACTCCATGACACACAACCAATATTGCCACCAAAGGGGTTGCAAAAGAGACTTAAAAATTAAGGGCAAAGTAAAAAATAACAAGGAAGAAGTTCTTCTTCTCAAATCCAACTTAAATCTTTTACCGTATTGATTTGGTGTGTTATAGAAAACTTTCAATCCAAGTACTAAGGGAGTTTTTCCTTTCCTCTTTCAGCCTCCTTTTTACAGCCGAAACACCGCTGAGATGTATGACAACATTCTGAACAAGCCCCTCCAGCTGAAACCTAATATCACCAATTCTGCACGTCACCTCCTGGAGGGCCTTCTGCAGAAGGACAGGACTAAGAGGCTCGGTGCCAAGGATGACTTTGTGAGTTGGGACGTTTGACCCTGTTCTCGTGGGCTGTCTGGAGAAGTACATTTGACCACCCTGATAGAATTGCACCTGTCTAAATTCATCTTGTGCTTCTTCTCAACAGATGGAGATTAAAAGTCATGTCTTCTTTTCCCTAATTAACTGGGAAGATCTCATTAATAAGAAGATGACTCCACCTTTTAACCCCAATGTGGTAAGTATCTCTCTCTTCTAAGTACAGCCAGACACAAAGGACATTTCTTTCTAAAGTCAGAGTTGGTGAGGGTGGGGGTCCCCCCCAGGGGGTTAATCAGTACATGTTTTATTCTTGGAACCATTAGTTTCTCCACTGGACGGAAAAAAAGTGTCATAGCCAAAAGCACATACTTTTGATACATTTATCAAGTAGAGGCCAAAAAAAAAAAAGTTAACATTAACAGGGGTTTTGTAGAGGTCACTGACTGGGTAGTACAGTTTGTCTTCAACGACTAATCTGAAGCGTGGCACTGTAGACCCACGGAAGAAAGTCCTGGTGACCTCCTGTAAAGTTTACAACTGAGATTACCCACTGATTGGAGCAGTTCTGCTTTGTAGCCACACATGGGGTTGTCATGAGTCAAATTCAACTTGATGGCAACAGGTTTAGGTTTAGGGGGTTGTGTGCTTGAAATAGTTGATTCTTGGAGTTTCCACTTAGTGTCCTAAAGATTTGAGTTCTCTTACATAAAGCAGTCAGGAGTCAGAATTGATGGGAGAGCAGCTGTTGTTTTTCCAAATATAAAGTCTAAACCAGGCTTTCCCTGTCCTGTGTCCAGTCTGACAGTGTGTGTTCTTTTCTGTCCTGTAACAGAGCGGGCCCAGTGACCTGCGGCATTTTGATCCTGAGTTTACTGAAGAGCCCGTCCCCAACTCCATTGGCAGGTCCCCTGACAGTATCCTCATCACAGCCAGTGTCAAAGAGGCTGCCGAGGCGTTTCTGGGCTTCTCATACGCACCTCCCATGGACTCTTTCCTCTGAACAGTCCAGAGGTTACTTGTGAAGGATTTCATGTGTGTTTCTAAATGTTTAGTAAGCGTTTTGGTGGAGCTGCCAGCTGACAGGACATCTTCAAAGAGAATTTGCACATCTCTGGAAGCTGGGCAATCTTCATTGCACACTGTCTGCTGGAAGCTTTCGGAAGAGCACATCCTCCTTGGAGTGGGCTCATGAGGCCGTCACTTATCTTCTTCCTTCCAACATGGTGCTAACTCTGAAATGAGCATTCGGGTGCCGCCTCAGACAGATGCAGTGGTTGGTTCTAAGGAAGACACTGTTCTAGAAGCATCTGAGGAAGGTCTGTCTGGGCTGTGAGGCTGTGATGATGATGAAATGTGCCTTTTCTGATGAGATCATGTTCGCTCCAAAGCTTTGCCTATTGCAGAGTTCCAGTTCTTCCTTTCTCATGGGTTTGCTGTGTGAGCAGTGGTATGTGTGCTTGATCACAGATGGGTTGCGTTATAAGCATCAATGTGACACTTGCAGGACACTACAACGTGAGACATTGTTTGTTTCTTCCATATTTGGAAGATAAATTTATGTGTAGACTGTTGGGGTGTTTTTTTTTTTTTTGGTAAAATATACTTAATAACTAAAATTTATTGAAACGGTCTTGCAATGACTTGTACCCAGATGCTTAGAGAAAGCATTGCTGCTACAGATATTTCTATTTTTAGAAAGGTTTTTATGGACCAATGCCCCAGTTGTCAGAGCTGTTGGTGTTTCATTGTTTAAAATGTCACCTGTAAAATGGGCATTATTTATGGTTTTTTGTTTTTTGTTTTTTTTTTTTTTTGCATTCCTGATAATTGTATGTGTTGTATAAAGAAAAGTCTGTACATTGAGTTATAACACTAGTATATTTAAACTTACAGGCTTTATTTGTAATGTAAACCACCATTTTAATGTACTGTAATTAACATGGTTATAATATGTACAATCTTTACTTCTCCCCTGCCACACAACTTTTTTTGTGTGTGATGAACCAGTTTTGGTTTGCAATAAAACCTTGAAAAATATTTACAAAGTGGTGTCCTATGTCATTTTACATACAGACATATGTCCATCAGAGATGTTGTGGGTTCAGTTCCAGACCACTTCAACAAAACAAAACACAATAAAACAAGTCACACATGTTTTGGTTTCCCAGTGCATAAAAACTAGTTAGCTTGTACTGCGCTGTAATCTATAAAGACTTCTGGTAACACTGGAATGAACATTGGACTTTTAGCCGCAAGGTCGGCAGTTCAAGCACACCAACCACTCTGTGGGAGAAAGATGAGACTTTCTCCCATAAAGACTTACAGCCTCGGAAACCCTGTAGAGGAGGGTCACTGTGAGTCAGAATTGACTTGATGGCAGTGGATTTGAACTTGGTAGTCTAGTAAATGTGCAATAGGATTATGAAAAGTTGGAAATTTACTAATAAGGATTACTAAAATGTGACACAGACATGAAGTAAGCACGTGCCATTGGGGGGGGTGCAGATAGACTTGATCGATTACCACAAACCTTTCATTCGTTAAAAAACATTGTCTATGAGGCACAGTTAAACGAGGTATACCTCTTTTTCAGTAAAGAAGATAATAAAGGATAAGTTTAAAATTTAGAACTGAAAACAATGTTGTAATAGTCTGCTTCCACTAGCAACTGCTGCTGATTCCAGAGGAATGCAGGACGGGCCTAAAAATGAGTCCATCTTCCATATCTTAACATTTTATGATGTTAGCCATTCATAAATCCATTCAAACAAATCTGTTTCAATTTACTCATCTTCCAAGCTAAGTAATGTTCCCTTTATTTATTGCCTGCCCAGTGCAGTTGAACTGTCTGTCCTCACATGTGTCTGATTTTAAGTATCAGGTAAGTCAACAAATGACTTGAGTGCTTCCTCATTTCCAGGCCCAATTTTGAGCGCTGAGAATATACCAGTGAGCGGAGCAGACACATCTAGAAGGACAGAAAGAGTAGATCATTTAACTAACAGCAGTTTTAATGGAAATCAAGGTGGTCCTCTGCAAGTTTAGGAAAATATCACTAAAGAAGGATGACGATGTTGATAATAAATGGACATGCTCCCAGAAAGCTAAACCGGCAGAATTTAGGGTTTCAGGTGGCACCCACAGCTGAACTGAGTCTAGCGCTGACTTGAGAAAGGATCCCCAAGGAACCCCTCTGTAGATCGGTCCAGTGGGTACACAGTAGTGCACAAACCAGCAGGCTCTGGGTCTGGCATGCAGGGCCCGTGCTGAGAGCTCTTATACAGGAATATTTAACTAGGAGACAAGAAATATCAATAGGTCATCACCTTGAACTTCGTGTTTCTAAATCTTTCTTTTCCTGTCCATCCCTTAGTTGTACTGTGGTGTTATACATGTTGCTATGATGCTGGAAGCTATGCCATCAGTATTTCAAATACCAACAGGGTCACTCATGGTGGACAGATTTCAGCAGAGGTTCTAGACTAACAAATGAAAATCAATTTCCAAAAAGTAGCCATTGGAAAGCCTATGGATCACACACACCTAGTGCTGAAACCAATATAGTGGTTCAAACTCAACAGTCACTCCTCAGAAACGTTCTCCAGGGTCGCTATGAATCAAAACAGACTCAGCGGCACTTAACAACAATAGTGCTGGAAGGTGAAACTTCTCAGTTGGAAGACATGCAAAATGCACAGTAGCTGCAACACTGCATATCAGCTATTGTAAAGATGGTGTATATTTCGTTCTGTAGGCATCATGAGGGCATAATGGGGCACCATGAGCCAGCGCCAGCTTAGCACAACTAACAACAGGTTTTCATACATGTGTCTAGTCAATAATCCGAATTCTGTAGTCACCAGATAGTTGATCCACTGCTTTAGTTGCTCCTTTTCTTTGACCTCTCAGTGTTTACAGGGATTATCTCAGGGAAACTGACCTTTCTTGTATCTTTTACAGGGATTGTCTCAGGGAAACTGTGACCTTTCTTGTATCTCTCACCTCACCTCAGTCCCCAAAGATGGAAAGGGCTGAACAGGTGTTCAGAGATCACCCAGTCTTCTTTCATGGTTGCAACGGAGCAATGGGCTCTAAGTCAGTAGGCCTACTTGCTCAAACCCATTGCCAGAGAGTCCATTTGGATTCACAGTAACCCTGTAGGGCAAAGTAGAACTTTCCCACAGGATTTCCAAGGAACTGGTGGTGCAGTGGGTTAACTGTGGGTCTATTGACCATAAAACCAGAGGTCAAACTGGCCAGTTGTGGGAAAAAGCTATGGCAGTCTGCCTTCAGAAAGATTTTGAGGCTTGGGAACACTACGGAGCTGTTCTACAGGTCCTATAGGGTCACTATGAGCTGTAATCAGCTCAGTGTCCTTGGGTTTGGTTTGGGGGTAATCTTTACAGAAACAGAATGCCACTTCTTTTTCCTGCAGAGCAGTTGGTGGGTTCGAACTATTTCGAACTTAACCACTAGAACACAAAGGCTCCTTGTTTGTTCAAGTTGGGCACAAGAAGAGCTGTGGTTGAGGTCGGCTACTCCTCAGATATGTAGTGAGTGCTGTCAATTTATAGTGATCCCATGTGACAGAAGAGAATCCCCCCCCAACCACCACCACCCATGAGGCTTTCTAGTCTGCAGTGTTTATAGGAGCAGAGCCTCAGGTCTTTCTTCCTGGGGGGTTCAAACTGCCAACCTTTCGATTAGCAACCAGGTGATTATGCATTGCGCCATGAGGGCTATTCAATTGTTATTGCTAATTGCTGTTGAGTCTCCTCCGACTCATAGTGTCCCTGTATAGGGTTTCCAAAGACCCTCACTGTAGTTAGCAATCCAGTGCTTATGCTATAGTGCCATACCAGGACTCCATTACCAAATCCAAATGGCAGAATAAACTACAGTGATCAACAGAAAGCCACAGCATACATTTTCCTAGTAGAGATTGTTGTTGTTGTCAGGTGCCATCAAGTCGGAACCGACTCATAGCGACCCCATGCACAGCAGAACGAAACAATGTCCGATCCTGGGCCCACCTCACTACCACTGCCACACTTGACGCCATCAATGAAACCACCTGGCAGATCTATCTTGTTGGGGGTCTTTCTCTTTTTCTCTGACCCTCCATCTTACCCAGCATGACATCCTTCTCTAGCAACTGTTCCCTCCTGACAATATGTCCAAAGTATGAGAGACGAAGCTTAGCCATCCTGGCCTCCAAGGAGCACTCTGGCTGCACTTCTTCCAAAACAGATCTATTGGTTCTTTTGGCAGTCCATGGCACTTTTAGTATTCTCCTCCAACACCACAACTCAAAGGCATCAATTCTTCTATGGTCTTCCTTATTCACTGTCCAGCTTTCGCATCCATATGAGGTTATTGAAAATACCATGGCTTGGGTCAGGCGCATCTTAGTCCTCAAGCTGACATCTCTGCTCATCAACACTTTAAAAAGTTCCTGTGCAGCAGATTTGCCTAATGCAGTACGTCGCCTGATCTCTTGACTGCTACTTCCATGAGTGTTGATAGTTGATCCAAGAAGAATGAAGTCCTTAACAACCTCAATCTTTTCTCCGTCGATAAGAATGTTGTTGATTGGTCCAGTGGTGAGGATTTTTGTTTTCCTGACATTGAGATGCAACCCATACTGAAGGTTCTTTTATCTTCATCAGTAAATGTTTCAAGTCCTCTTCACTTTCAGCAAGCAAGGTTGTATCATCTGCATATTGCAGGTTGTAGTGAGTCTTCCTCCAATCCTGACGCCACGTTTTTCTTCATAAAATCCAGCTTCTCGTATTATTTGCTCAGCATACAGGTTGAATAAGTATGTTGAAAGAACACAACCTTGTCATACACCTTTCCCAATTTCAAAACATTCAGTGTTCCCATGTTCTGTTTGAACAACTGCTTCTTGGTCCAGGTACAGATTTCTCAGAAGTACAATTAAGTGTTCTGGAATACTCATACTTCTCAATGTTGTCCATAGCTTGTCATGATCCACACAATCGAAAGCCTTTGCGTAGTCAATAAAGCATAGGTAAACATCTTTCTGATATTCTCTGCTTTCAGCCAAGATCCACCGGACACCAGCAATGATATCTCTCATTCCATGGCCTCTTCTGAATCCAGCTTGAATCTCTGGAAGTTCTCTGTCAATGTATGATTGTAGCCATTTCTGTATTACCTTGAGCAAAACTTTACTCGCTTGAGATATCAAAGAGATGGCCTGATGATTTCCGCATTCCGTTGAGTCACCTTTCTTTGGAGTGGGCACAAATATGGATCTCTGCTATATATTCTCTACTAGGAAAGATGGCGAGATGGCATCTTTTCCCCTCATTCCCATTCTCAATAAAAGTTATGAATCCCTTTATGAACAAAAAGTACTTATTATTATTGAAATCTGAATATAGTTCTTGCTGACTAGGAATCTGCAATCAAATTAAAGATAATTCAGAGGGGCTAGTCTTTGATAGCAGCTTTTTATTTTTTAAAGGCAGAAATGTGTTTTATTGGGTTACAGTCAATTATTATATAAGAAGTGGCTTTCTTTCCTTTCTCAAGAATTGACAGGTGCCACAGGAGTCCCACGTTGTCACACAAATGGGAGGAGATTAGACCATCACAAGTGGGTGGGAAGGGAACAAGACAAGAACAGGGAAGTCAAGAAAGAACAAGGGATCAATAAACAAATGGCAAATATTTGCTAAACACTGTGACGTCAGCTAAAGTACTTACACAGATCCTTTATCTACATTTCAGCAAGACAATTGGAAAAGGAGACATCACCTCACTTAGATGTCTTCAAGCTGATTCTTGCTTATAGGGACCCTAAGGTTGTTGTTGTCATTAAGTGCCATTGAGTCGATTCCTAACACCTTAACTCAAAGGCATTAATTCTTATTACTCTTGGACCACAAGGTCGATTTGAACTGCAAGGTCAGCAGTTCAAACTCACCAGTTGCTCCTTGGCAACTCTATACAGGGTCACTATGAGTTAAAACAGACTCTACGGCACTTAACAACAACATTCATGGTCTAGCTTTCT